TGTCAGCAGGTTGAAGCGACCCCAATAAGTGATATCGTTCCACCAGGAGGGAACAGTTAATGTAAAAGTCCTTGAAAGTGATTTTGTGCCTCTTTGAGATGGCACAATAATACGCCGTTCACTTGCTTCTAGAGGGCACATAACTCTGTAATGAATTTAGGTAAATGGGTGCAGAGCCAGTGGTGGTTTTGTAGGCAAACATTAATGCCTTGAATTTTATGCGAGCAGCTACTGGTAGCCAGTGCAAATTGATGAACAGAGGTGTGACATGCGTTCTTTTCGGCTCATTAAAGATTAATCTTGCAGCGGCATTTTGGATTAATTGTAGAGGTTTGATAGAAGTGGCTGGAAGACCTGCCAAGAGAGCATTGCAATAGTCCAGCCTGGATAGAACAAGAGCTTGAACAAGGAGATGTGTTGCATGTTCTGAAAGAAAGGGCATGATCTTCCTAATGTTGTATAAAGCAAATCTGCAGGACCAGGCAGTTTTAGCAATGTGGTCTGAGAAATTCAGCTTATTATCAATCACAACTCCATGGTTTCTAGTTGTTTTTGAAGGAGTTATGGTTGATGAGCCTAACTGGACGGTGATAAAGTGATGGGTTTGTAGAAACCTCAAGCAGTTACTTGATACTACTTATAAATACTTGATTCTGATTGGTCATTCGCGACATTGTGAGGTGTGTTATTACCTGATAACAGCCGTCATCAGTAGCAATGCCAAATAACACACCGGTCTGTCAGGAAAACAGGTAAATTTAGCTCAAATGGAATTCATTTTAATTTTTATAGGGAATTTTGACAGAATCACTGTTCTATGGCTGATCAACTGAGTCGGCCAGCGTTACACTGAACGGGCCATATAGCATCAACTCTGCAACGGATATGAATATCCAAAAGTATAGTGAAAACACACACAGTAAGTAGATCGGCAGTTTAAGACATTAACTTGTAAGCACAAAAAAACATGACACTTCACTTTTCAATACAAAACAAGACTTTGTTGGACAATTATAAGACATAAACTAATCTAACACAAACACATGCACTCACACATTCACACAAGTTGCAGAAACAGAGAAAGTAAGGGAAGAAGTTGTAAGTGAACATGTGAAATCCCCAGTTTTTAGCAATATGTGCAATTGCTTAGACCTGAACAACCATCAATTATTAGATTAACCCTCACATTGAGTTTTCAATGAGGCTATGATACTTTATATTAAATGCACCAGTTTAGAATCTGGAGGCATTGCCTGTGTTAGGAGATTCCCCTTGTTGTTGTGTGGGGTTTCCCAGGTTGTTGATTCACTGGAGGTCTAGTAGCATCTGGAGTGACGTCTTGGGGAAGCCAACCGTTGGGCATTGGCTGAAGGATGGGTGTGGAATCTTGGGCTGGTTGAAGTTTTGGCAGCGGGCACAGATGAGGTCGGATTCAAAGACATGTCTTTATGGCAACACTTAACTCAAAACACGAAACTATCAAGGGAAAAGAAAAGAAACTAAAGTAAAAAAGAAAGAAAGAAAGAAGGGTGTGATGAGACTAGATGGCTTTATCTCCACATGATAGTAGAGGAGCAGCAGGCAAGCAGGCCAGGAAGCCCGCTGAAAGAGCGCTTGAAGAATGCAAAGCTTAAAAGCAAAAGCAGTGTCAAAAAGGCAAAAAAAAAAAAGCAGTGGCAAAAGCAAAATGTGTTTGTGTCCTGAGTTTTTAAACTCTGTGTTGGACACATCCCAAATGGTGTCTTGACCAATTAGACATTGTCTTAGCTTAGGGTATTGCTATGTTTCTCCTCATACATACATCGTGTTATCTTGTTAGTCACATGGTCTGAATTTTCCCACTCTTGCAGAGTATAATTTAACCATGATTTCTATAATAAGAATATGATACAGTTTACATGAATTGACTGATAGAAAAGTTTTAAGGAAGAATTTTCAAACACACATACCAAACTCGAATATAATAGTTATTCAAAGGACATAAAAAAAAAAAGCAGTGGCAAAAGCAAAATGTGTTTGTGTCCTGAGTTTTTAAACTCTGTGTTGGACACATCCCAAATGGTGTCTTGACCAATTAGACATTGTCTTAGCTTAGGGTATTGCTATGTTTCTCCTCATACATACATCGTGTTATCTTGTTAGTCACATGGTCTGAATTTTCCCACTCTTGCAGAGTATAATTTAACCATGATTTCTATAATAAGAATATGATACAGTTTACATGAATTGACTGATAGGAATAAGAATTTTCAAACACACATACCAAACTCGAATATAATAGTTATTCAAAGGACATATACAGTATCTCACAGAAGTGAGTACACCCCTCACATTTTTGTAAATATTTTATTATACCTTTTCATGTGACAACACTGAAGAAATGACACTGCTACAATGTAAAGCAGTGAGTGTACAGCTTGTATAACAATGTAAATTTGCTGTCCCCTCAAAATAACTCAACACACAGCCATTAATGTCTAAACCGCTGGCCACAAAAGTGAGTACACCCCTAAGTGAAAATGTCCAAATTGGGCCCAATTAGCCATTTTCTCTCCCCGGTGTCATGTGACTCATTAGTGTTACAAGGTCTCAGGTGTGAATGGGGAGCAGGTGTGTTAAATTTGGTGTTATCACTCTCACTCTGTCATACTGGTCACTGGAAGTTCAACATGTCACCTCGTGGCAAAAAAACTCTCTGAGGATCTGAAAAAAATAATTGTTGCTCTACATAAAGATGGCGTAGGCTATAAGAAGATTGCCAAGACCCTGAAACTGAGCTGCAGCACGGTGGCCAAGACCATACAGCAGTTTAACAGGACAGGTGCCACTCCAGGCCTCGCCATGGTCGACCAAAGAAGTTGAGTGCACGTGCTCAGCGTCATATCCAGAGATTGTGTTTGGGAAATAGACGTATGTGTGCTGCCAGCATTGCTGCAGAGGTTGAAGGGGTGGGGGGTCAGCCTGTCAGTGCTCAGACCATATGCCACACACTGCATCAAATTGGTCTGCATGGCTGTCGTCCCAGAAGGAAGCCTCTTCTAAAGATGATGCACAAGAAAGCCCGCAAACAATTTGCTGAAGATAAGCCGACTAAGGACATGGATTACTGGAACCATGTCCTGTGGTCTAATGAGACCAAGATAAACTTATTTGGTTCAGATGGTGTCAAGCGTGTGTGGTGGCAACCAGGTGAGGAGTACAAAGACAAGTGTGTCTTGCCTACAGTCAAGCATGGTGGTGGGATTGTCATGGTCTGGGGCTGAGTGCTGCCGGCACTGGGGAGCTACAGTTCATAAAGGGAACCATGAATGCCAACATGTACTGTGACATACTGAAGCAGAGCAAGCTCTGGTGAACGCCATGCCCAAGAGGGTTAAGGCAGTGCTGGAAAATAATGGTGGCCACACAAAATATTGACACTTTGGGCCCAATTTGAACATTTTCACTTAGGGGTGTACTCATTTTTGTGGCCAGCCGTTTAGACATTAATGACTGTGTGTTGAGTTATTTTGAGGGGACAGCAAATGTACACTGTTATACAAGCTGTACACTCACTGTTTTACATTGTAGCAAAGTGTCATTTCTTCAGTGTTGTCACATGAAAAGATATAATAAAATATTTACAAAAATGTGAGGGGTGTACTCGCTTCTGTTAGATACTGTATGAGTTATTAGAACATAATAGTCAAATGTGTGGGTTACATACATGATATGGAGTTATGCAAGGGACTGATATTCATTTAGAAGTAATTTTAGCATCATTTTGATGCATTTATATATGTAAAAGACAGTCTCTGTGCCGTTCTGTGAGTGTGAGGATGTGTTCTGTGAGCAACAAAAGGTCTAGAAGGAGTCTAAGTCTGGTCTTTGTCCTGAGTGACATGAAAAGATTCCCGGGAAGTCTTAACTCATGATTTTCCTCATGGTTTTACTCGTGATGGTCATGATGTGTTGTCTTTTCGACCATTAATATTGGGTTACTCGGTCGCTTCTGTTAGATACTGTATGAGTTATTAGAACATAATAGTCAAATGTGTGGGTTACATACATGATATGGAGTTATGCAAGGGACTGATATTCATTTAGAAGTAATTTTAGCATCATTTTGATGCATTTATATATGTAAAAGACAGTCTCTGTGCCGTTCTGTGAGTGTGAGGATGTGTTCTGTGAGCAACAAAAGGTCTAGAAGGAGTCTAAGTCTGGTCTTTGTCCTGAGTGAGGGAAAACCAATCCCGGGAAGTCTTAACTCATGATTTTCCTCATGGTTTTACTCGTGATGGTCATGATGTGTTGTCTTTTCGACCATTAATATTGGGTTACTCGGCCCAAATTTGACAATCTCCTTCCTGAGTTGGAATTATCAATAAGTGTTCTTTTGATTTAACGTTGCAAGCTGTTTAAATCTGCTAGTTAGGTTTGCTGGCTCCCCAGGGTATCTGACGGCCGTCCATGTTGTTCGGGGCCTCTTTGTGGAATTTGGCTCTTTGTGTTGTTTCAACACTGTTCTGATCGAATCTTAAATTGTCTGATTCACTCTGATATCCCACAGCTCATCCGGGTATTTGAGGCCAGCGCTTCTTTCACATCTCATATCACATTAGTTTTAATCAAACGCAACTGCTATCAGCTTCAATTATCGACTGTATTTACTGTAAAATGAAACCGGAGGACTTCAGTGTCAATAGTAGGCCTGTGGTACTAGTTGAAGTGTCCAGAATGATTGTTTTGTACATTGTAATAAATAAACATGCAAGATTTAAAAAAAAATACTGCATTTATTGTTTTACATTTGTTTCTGAATGTATTAAAATGCGACTTATACACAGATGTGACTTTTTTTCTGTCAACAATGCAATGTTCTTTTAAATTCTACATACTGCAGTAAACTCTTTATTTCAAAATAATAATAATAATGTTTTAACATCCTTTTTAATTTGTGTTTGTGTTCATTCTCTAAGGCTAACACTAATGAAATAGTGCTGGCGTCTACTCATGATGTCCAGGAAGTGGACGTGTCCTCACTGCTCGCAGCTCAGCCTTACACCTGGATCGGAGAGGAATTTGACAAGGAGTCTCGCAGGTTTGTCACCTGTCTGTGTGTGTTTGAATCATTCAGCTCACAGATTTGATTACTGTGAAATTCCTTGTATTCTCTGTGTAGCTCTGATGATGTGGATTACCGCTCGTCTCACACCAACATCGCCCAGACTAGTGCCGGTCCCTTTGCCCCCCAACAAATGGCAGCATCATCCTCCATGCCATGGCTGGGCAGCGGACAGACCAGCATGGGTGCCAGTGTGGTAAGTTAGTCAGACTGTTTTCTGTAATGTGAATAAAGTTAGCATATCAACTTGTAAAATGAAATCACAGGTATAAAAAAAATGGGAAAATGTATTGTTTTATTTTTTTTTTTGACCTCGTTCTAATATTTTAGAAAGTGATGCCACTTACACGTTTACATAAAAAATTTTTTTGAGAATGATAAAATGCAGCATTCAATTAAATGTGACAAGTTGACAAGTTATTTTAGTCAACTGAAACCTATGAAAGTCCAGATTTATTTATTTTTTTAATCTAAGATAAAATCTTAAATATATTTTTAATGGAAATAACTATGTATTATATAAAATCATGTTGTATTATAATATTAGATGTTAACCTTTTTTTGTTTTGTTTTTTACTATGAAATAGCCTTGTAAGCTGGTAAACAAACAAAATGTATTTTGCTACAAAATGACAAAATATATAAAAGGCTTATTGAAACAGTATTATGTCATGATGTCTCAGAACACATTAAAAATGAGGGATTTTTAAAAAAACCTGTGAATAAAAATAGCATTTTAAGTTTTAGACACATTTGCTAAAGGAATGCTAAATTATTAAATGACAATCTTTTTCTTTTTTTTTCACTAATCAAATAAGCAATTTTGTGACATTTGTACATCTGTGGCCATCTTTTGTACAGTTGGTCAGATATTCTTGCTTCCACTGGGGTACAAGATGCTCTTTAGATGATTCTCAAATCATCCTGGAAAACATGATCATCAGGTTTTGTTCATGCAGCTTCGGTATTACTGTCATAACAGGAAGAAGAAACAAACCAAATACTCAAAGAAACGTTCAAATTCATGTTCATTTTTAATTAAACTTAATTAAACTTTACTGAAATAGTTGTAATGTACAGGATTGTATTAAATTCAGGAAAACACTACTAGTGGTCTCAGATTTTGGACCCCACTGTGCATATGCACACATTGAATCCGGTTCATGATGGTCACATTCCCACAGAGCTGCACCCGCAAATGAAGTCAAGTCAAGTCAAGTCACCTTTATTTATATAGCGCTTTTAACAATACAGATTGTGACAAAGCAACTGAACAGCATTAATTAGGAAAATAGTGTCAATAATGCAAAATGACAATAGTAAACACTCATTTTTCAGTTAAAGACAGTTCATCATTGAATTCAGTGATGTCAAGATGAAGAGCAGCTTCTGAAGTGTTTTATTTTGGCTGCTATCAGCAGAACACAAACAGTGAGTCGTGGTCTCAACAGAGCTCTTGATGAGTCTGTATCGAGCTGATAAGAGCGTTTGGAGGTAGTGGAGTATACCGCAGACCGTTCCGAGTGGCCCAAGGTACAGACCTGCGTCATCACATCAAGCTCCACTCTTGTTCTCATTCACGGCTGATAAAGATGACACTGTGGAGTTGGGGAAGCTACTTTCAAACGGGTTTTCCAAGCTCTACATGCTGCAGACAAATTATCGTTTTGATTGTGTAGTTAGCTTTACTACAACGAGTAGCAAAAGATCTGGTACCATGGTACAGGGATGAGATCAGATGGTAAAGATACTGTCATTGATTTACATATTTTATGGGTCGTTTGAAATGAACGGTCCAAGCAAAGCTTTCACTAAATCATACTATAGAATACTGTAAATTGTACTGCATATTGTACTGTAAAATATGAAGAAACTGCAAGCATCTCAGTGTTGTGTGTTGTGTGAGTTTGAGAGAACAGACTTTCATGAGTTTAACTGTGTGTGTGTGTGTGTGTGTGTGTGTGTGTGTGTGTGTGTGTGATTTCTGACAGATCATGAAGAGGAACCTGAATAACGTGAAGAGAATGACATCTCATCCCATCTATCAGTACTGTGAGTGTCTCTTATTTCACACACAAACACTGTGTAGGGTTTTGATGAAACTCCTGTTTGACTTCTTTGACATGTTTTCAGATATGACGGGTGCTCAGGACGGCAGTGTGAGGATGTTTGAGTGGAATCGTCCACAGCAGCTCATCTGTTTCAGACAGGCCGGAAACGCTCGAGTCACACGCCTCTATTTCAACTCACAGGGCAACAAGGTATTGAAGCAGTCATTACCAAAATCATTAAACCTCATAACCACGTGATAACCAAGCCATACACCATTGTTCAAAAATTTGGGTCAGTAAGTTTTTAAATAAATACTTTCAATTCAGCAAGGATGCATTAAAGTGCTCAAAATTGACAGTTGGGACATTTATATTGTTAAAAATATTTATATTTAAAAAAAAAAAATACTGTTCGTTTGAACTTTTTATGAATCAAAGAATCCTGAGAAAAAAAATGATCACACTTTCTACAGAAATATGAAGTGGTTTTTTCCATTCATATTAATTAAAAAAAAATAAGATTTCTTGAGCACCAAATCAGTCTGTTAGATCCTGAAAGATCACGTGACACTGAAGACTGCTGAAAATACAGCTTTGTCATCACAGGAATAAATTACATTTTAAAACACAAAAGCATATTAAAATAGAAGTTGTTAATTATGCATTGAAAAGGCTTTTGACCTTTGGTAAGTTTTACTTATGTAGTGTATAATAATTTCCAGGCTCATTTTGTGTCTGTTCATATGCTGTTGACTTCATAGAATAGAGCGAGTATGTCAGTTGTCTGTGGTGTTATATAATAAGTCCAGTACAGTAGCACATCTGTTCAGAAAAGGTCATCCTGTTGTGTCTTCTGTCCTTTATATGAATCATTATGCAATATACAGCTGAAAATATTGTCTGTGCCTTTAAATATCTCCTATATTCGTGCTGTCTGTCTGCAGTGTGGTGTTGCAGATGGCGAGGGCTTTTTGAGCCTCTGGCAAGTCAATCAGACCTCCTCAAACCCCAAACCTTATTTGGTAAGACCTTTATCTTTGTACCGCACAGGCCTTCCATTACTGACGGTCACAAACTGCCCTCATAGTGTGACTGAACAGTGTGATTGAAGTAGATATAATATCAAAGCATGTGGCATCTGCAAACAGATGATAAAAACGAACTTTACTATTAAATACATGTTTGATAATGCAGAGTCACTGTATAATATGAAATAATAAGCATCTCTGCGTGTCCGTCTCAGAGCTGGCAGTGTCACAGTAAAAGCTGCTGTGATTTCGCCTTCATTACGTCCTCCAGTCTGATTGCCACAGCAGGACAGTCTAACGATGGCAGGTCAGTTAAATTATTTATTTGACTGTCATATAGAAACAGGTTTTATGGATTGATTTTAAGGAAATGTTTCGCTTTCTTCCACAGGAATGTTTGTTTATGGGACACTCTGATCTCTCCAAGTAACTCTATGATACACGGTGAGTCCACAGACTCTTAAGGGAAGATGTTTTTAAAAAATAATAAAAATATGTTGAATAAGTGATTTAGTATTATTTCATTTTTATATTAATTAATTTATTTTTTATTTAATTTGTGTTAGCTTATGATGTCATTGTTTGTACAAAAAAAGTTTAGTTTTTCATGAACATTTTCCACACTCATTCGTTCATCTAAATACTGAATGGGTGTTCATGTGTGGGTAGTCATATGTTAATGTTCTAATGGTGGCGACAACATTATCATGAATATTTCTAAATGTGTTGTTTTAAAGCTTAGTTTTAATAAATGGTCTGGATGGACTGAGGATGGAATATTTTAATACTATGTCTACATAGTACCACAGACATTTCCAAGAGCAAGAATGGGCCCATTTTCCATTAATATGTTTGTTGAAGATTACTTTTATTGCTAGTTATATACAATTATATGTACCGTCATTTAAGCTTTACAGGGTTCTTGTGGGTCCTTTAAAAGTCTTAAATTCAGTTTGATCAGGTTTAAGGTCATAAAAGTCTTAAATATCATAAATGGTATATCAATAGTCTTATTTATTTTAAGAGCACTTCAATAGGTTGACTAAAAAATGGGAATCGTGGTATGGCCTAATGTGATTATTAAACTTCAAAGGCGATTATTTAATGAAATGTGAGCGCTGCACGTTCAAAGTCAAAAAGCGGCACTGTTGCGTATTTATGGGCTTGCATATTCAGAGCAGTTTGTAATCAGTAAATACCATCCATTTATCCATAAGAGATTGTTTATGCTCTAACTTTGATGAATTATGACAATGTTTACTTTGTTTTTTACGTTTGTTTGTTTTTCTTTAATGTTGTAGAATGTCATAAGAGTGCAATATTTTATCACCCTCGTTTTTTTTTTTTTAATGAGCAGGTGCAAGTAGTAAAGCATAGATTTTCAAAATAAGTTTGTTTTTTCTTCTTCGTTTTTTCTGGATATTATTGGCATTTTGGCTGCCCTATCACAATAAAGAAGGGAAAGGCAAAGACCAGCTTTTAACACATTAAATATTTAGATTTTACTGATATTGTACAATAATCTTTTTATTGATTTGTGTTGTTGTTGTTGTTGTTGTTGTTATTTTAAACATTATCATATCAGCAAAATCAAATATCGATCGACCAGTAATTTGTGTGTTAATATATTAGTACATAAACCAATTTTTAAACATATTTAACTTGTTTAACCCTGTTTTGCAGTTGAATATGTAAAAGAATCCGAGATGCATGATTTATTTTGAGATTGAATGGGTTTGTTCTGTTTGAATGTGATATTAATTTTAGAAAAAGTTTTTAAAAAGTCTTAAATTTGATCAAAAAAAGTCTGCTTTTATTCTGCTATCTTTCTATATCCAGCGTTCCAGTGCCATGAGAACGGCGCAACGGTTCTTCAATATGCTCCTAAACAGCAGCTAATCATCACGGGCGGCCGGAAGGGATTCGTCTGTATTTTTGACATCCGTCAGAGACAGCTACTCCACACATTCCAGGCACATGATTCAGCCATCAAAGCGATGGCCATGGACTCCACTGAAGACTTCTTCGTCACCGGCTCAGCCGAAGGGAACATGAAGGTATATTCCCCTAAAATGACACACTTCATCTTAAACATCTCCTGTTGCTGTTATGTGGATATTTATGCTAAAAACATAAAAAGCAAAGTGACATTAAAAAACATATTTAAAAAAAAAATATTGATAACTCCAAAAAAGAAATAATTAGACTGAATTTAAAGTATCGCCAAACGACAGAATTTTTTATTTTTTCTCACCAAGTCAGTGCTAAAAGCTCCTCCTTCACTAGCATGTGTGAAAACTGCAACAAGTAAGCAATACATCCACCTTTTATCTTCAAGCAAATGACAAGCTAGCAAGCGGTTCATTTTGTGATGTTTTTTCTACTGCTCACTATCAATAGATTCTCTAAAATTGTTTGTAATTATTTGTTAAATGTGTGTAATTAATAATAATAATAATAATGCGATCACATTTTTAGGATAAAAAAAGTTTCAGCTTTTAAATGGGAGGAGAAATGCTTCTCATATCTTTTTGTTGTTGAAGGCTGTGTGTCAAATTAGACTTTCATCTGTCATTTGATAAAAAAACTGGGAAGATGTGTAAAAAATGTCAGACAACCTGAATGAAATTAGAATTGTTCTATTCAGCCTATGCCAATAGTGTTCATGCCTATACTAAAACATTTCAGTGTTTGTTTTTAAGGACATTTCTTTTTACCTATAGTATATGATAAACAATTTTGATAATGTGTTGGATCACCTCATGCTTATAACGGTATCTAGAGAGCATGGTGGTCTATTGCAGATATAATAGTAGTGTACAAAATACACTTTAATGATAGCAATTGAGATGTATGCTGAATTGCTGAAAGGTTTCAAAATATTTTTAAAAATGCACACGATATTTTACTGTATTTGCAGTATGCAAGTCTGCTTGCTTTTGGAACTGACACAAGGCAGTTCACTTCTTCTAACCTGTCACTAACCTAACAGCATTCAATAATCTCAAATAGGTAACAATGTGTTAGTCCATCAACCTGGCTATATATCTACAGTATAACTAATATATAGTGATGCTCCGAAATTTTCGACAATCAATAATATTCAACCAAAAAAATGAATTATGGGTTTAAGCCATAACAGTGGTGATATTTAATTAGCGCTTCTCCTATGGTGTGTTTTTACTGTGTTAGTAGCTGCGTTTCCATCCACCTATTTTTATGCGCATTTTGGAATTTCGCATTAAAAAAACGCTGGATGGAAACGCCAAGATGCGCATAAATTCTAAAAATGAGTAGGATAAACTTTTTAACCGATAAGAAAAAATGCGCATAAACTACGATGGAAACACATTTACCGAATAAATTCCTCCATGCAAATCAAAAAAGCCATGTGACTTTGCGCTATGAGACGGGATAACTTGACAAGCAGCGGACAGATCTCATTCACAGCATCTATATGTTGTTATGGTCATTCTGAAATGCCTGAGCAAAGTCTGTCATCAAAGTATTTCGACTGCGTTCCCATATGATAACTCCAAAAAAGAAATAATTAGACTGAATTTAAAGTATCGCCAAACGACAGAATTTTTTATTTTTTCTCACCAAGTCAGTGCTAAAAGCTCCTCCTTCACTAGCATGTGTGAAAACTGCAACAAGTAAGCAATACATCCACCTTTTATCTTCAAGCAAATGACAAGCTAGCAAGCGGTTCATTTTGTGATGTTTTTTCTACTGCTCACTATCAATAGATTCTCTAAAATTGTTTGTAATTATTTGTTAAATGTGTGTAATTAATAATAATAATAATAATGCGATCACATTTTTAGGATAAAAAAAGTTTCAGCTTTTAAATGGGAGGAGAAATGCTTCTCATATCTTTTTGTTGTTGAAGGCTGTGTGTCAAATTAGACTTTCATCTGTCATTTGATAAAAAAACTGGGAAGATGTGTAAAAAATGTCAGACAACCTGAATGAAATTAGAATTGTTCTATTCAGCCTATGCCAATAGTGTTCATGCCTATACTAAAACATTTCAGTGTTTGTTTTTAAGGACATTTCTTTTTACCTATAGTATATGATAAACAATTTTGATAATGTGTTGGATCACCTCATGCTTATAACGGTATCTAGAGAGCATGGTGGTCTATTGCAGATATAATAGTAGTGTACAAAATACACTTTAATGATAGCAATTGAGATGTATGCTGAATTGCTGAAAGGTTTCAAAATATTTTTAAAAATGCACACGATATTTTACTGTATTTGCAGTATGCAAGTCTGCTTGCTTTTGGAACTGACACAAGGCAGTTCACTTCTTCTAACCTGTCACTAACCTAACAGCATTCAATAATCTCAAATAGGTAACAATGTGTTAGTCCATCAACCTGGCTATATATCTACAGTATAACTAATATATAGTGATGCTCCGAAATTTTCGACAATCAATAATATTCAACCAAAAAAATGAATTATGGGTTTAAGCCATAACAGTGGTGATATTTAATTAGCGCTTCTCCTATGGTGTGTTTTTACTGTGTTAGTAGCTGCGTTTCCATCCACCTATTTTTATGCGCATTTTGGAATTTCGCATTAAAAAAACGCTGGATGGAAACGCCAAGATGCGCATAAATTCTAAAAATGAGTAGGATAAACTTTTTAACCGATAAGAAAAAATGCGCATAAACTACGATGGAAACACATTTACCGAATAAATTCCTCCATGCAAATCAAAAAAGCCATGTGACTTTGCGCTATGAGACGGGATAACTTGACAAGCAGCGGACAGATCTCATTCACAGCATCTATATGTTGTTATGGTCATTCTGAAATGCCTGAGCAAAGTCTGTCATCAAAGTATTTCGACTGCGTTCCCATACAGCAGCATCCACCTCCGAAAGCATTGACAGCATTTATTGTGTTAAGTCTGCTCGCTCTGAGGTGCAAGTAGTTTATATCATATTGAAAATTATTATATTCAGTGGCTTCTCCTATATTCTTAGTGATATTTAGTGCCACAGTTTACTAGGAAATGACGATTTTGTTCTCTTGTCTGTACATTTCAGTTTTTTATTTGAATGTTGCTTAAATACATTGAATTGATTAATTGATTTAAAAAACGTTATTTTCGGTTTTGTTTTTTAAACTTCTGGTGTAAAAAAAGAAATGTTTGCGCATCATTTCTAATAACTGCATTCCTGTTCTGGTTCAGGTCTGGAAGTTGGCGGGTCACGGTCTCATGCACTCCTTTAGCACCGAGCACGCTAAACAGTCCATATTCCGAAACATCGGCGCCGGCGTGATGAAAATCGAAACCTGCCCAGGCAACCGGATCTTCACCTGCGGAGCCGACGGGACCCTGAAAATGAGGGTCCTTCCCGACCGCTACAACATTCCGGCCAGTATATTCCAGATCCTCTAACACCGGAGCGGCCGTAGAACACTAATGCTTTCATCGGCACCTCCACGTTCCCTTAGCTGTGAATTGTAACAAATATCTCGCGCTGCAGAATATCTTTACCACCCTGCCCCACAAAAGACGTTGGAAAACACGCATGAGGTCCCTCAATTCTAACGATCGACTACTGTAATTTCTGGAGACGAATCCAGATAACGTGTTGGTAGGAAAGCCGTATGCATGAGCTGTTTGAATCATCGCACTCCATTCCCAGGTTATTGGTCGTGCTCTGTAAAAGTGCTCAAAGCTCCATTTTTAAGTGTGTATGTGTGTGTGTCTTCATTCTGTGCCCATTGTAGCATCTAAAAACCACCACTGTGCTTCTGATATCAGTGTAAGTCCAGTTGTTGGATTATGTTTTTACTGTTCATTTTCTCCTTCGCTGCTAATGTATTTGCAGAGTGTAAAAATGGCAGAGTACCCTGGCAGCCCGGCGGTTGCGCCGTGGCCCCAGAGACACACCCCCTCCCTTCCACACGCACACGCTGCTGACACGCTTGTTTCCGTAGCAGCCAAACAGCTAAACATTCCACGCAAGACGACGATGCTTGCTCCTGGAAATGACGTGTTTGACCTTTTCATCTCTCAAGCCCTGAAATTCTCACTTTGAACTTTTTTGCACAAAATATTTGTTCGTTTGTTTGCTCGTTTTAGTTTCGTTTGTTCTTTTTCAAATTCTTATTTATATTAAATTTTAGGAATGCACGGGATGTTTTAGATGTCTGGGACAAAGTGCAACACTGAATAGGTTTGTGGTTTATGTATTTATTTTTTTTTCATGTTTTATCTATTCTAAATATTTGCACTCAGATCTGGGGAAACAATAACACTCTTATGTTACACGTGATAAAAGCTCTATTAGAGGAAACTGTTATTTACTAATGAATGTCTGGCTTTGTGTGGCCGAGTAGTAAAAAGTGGAAATAGTTTTAAATTAATAAATATATATATATATATAAATATAAAAATGATTTATGACAATAGCTTGTACAAACAAAATAACGCTTTTAGTTTCTTTTTTGATTTTATCATAACTGCTGGAATAGTCGTATATTTGGTTTGATGTATGTGGTATTTATTAAAATCATATTTGTGTTTCTGTCTGATTTGCTGGGCACCATGTCAACTGTACGTATTTTAAATGTTCAACCGATGGTCTGATGTGTATTTATTGAACAGCCTGATCTGTCTGCGTGTGTGAAAATGCAAACCCCCAAAACACTGGTTGATATTTCTGAAGGAACAGGTAGTTCTGTCATGGTCAAAGTTTTATCTTTGTAAGTTGAATAAATTCTTTTTATTTGAATCAAGTCATTTCACTTTTACTGTTTCAACTCCACATCTTTATATTAAAATGTTTCAGGGTTTATTTCAGGATTCCCAAGCATTTGTAGCTACATAAACATGCATGCAATATAAATAAAACAACATCTGGCAAATATATTTTGTGTCTTAAACATACTAGCAGTCTAACACAATATAACATGAAGTCAACAAAAAAATCAAAGTTCACCTTAAATTAATGCACATACCTAATCTTATTGTGTAGGGTTTTTGAGTGACGTTATCTTGAAAAGTCTTAATGAATTGATGCTGTGAAATAAAATAGCAATGACAGCAATGGTTAAGTATACGAAGTTACTAAATTCTTGTAATGCACATAGAAATAACATTTATTATTTACATGCATTTGGCCTCATTCATAAAACAAGAGGAGAAAGAATTTCTGTGTAAATTTAGTAAAACCATATTTATGTAAAGTATATTTATAACAATGGTTTTATGAACAGTTTGCACAAAAATTAGCTCTGCTCGTGCTGCATGAATTAATAAATATTCATTTAAAATGCATGTTAGCTGAAAAACAAAAATGCGACATAAAATTTAAAATCATACCAAAAAATAAAATATTACCCCAAATTGCATTTGGACACTCAATTCAGATTTAAAAATGCATTACATTAGATAAAAAATTTCAAATCAAGCGCATGTATTTTAAGGAAAGAAAGGGCAAACTCACTTTTCAAACTAAACATTTTACAAAACATGTTTGTAAGGCTTTGAAGGATAAACTGAAACAGTTGCGCTCTACTCTACAAAATTGTATTAGAATTGATTTATTCAATTGACCCTTCTCAGGCTTTAAACATTGCTAGTAAAAATTTTGCAATTGCGCGCGTTTGAGTAGTGTGCAGGATTTATTTAGTTTATTTTTTCCAAGCTTAGTTTTGATTAGACACTATTCCCCCGGTTTCACAGACGAGGCTTAAGCCTATCCCAGACTAAAATGCATGTCTGGGCTGTTTTTCCTGAAAGGACATGTTTTGTCTCAGGATGCACACCAGTAATGTTATTTTCTAAGGCAGGTTTATAAAAGATGCTTAAATGTCCTAATTGAACTGTGGCTTAATCCTGGTTTAACCTAAGCCCTGTCTGTGAAACCAGGCCTGTATTTTCTATTTAGGCTTTAAATGATTCAAATGTATCAACTTGAATAGAACTGATTTCATACAACAACGAAAAAAATACAAATAAATCAGTTGAATAAAAGCTGTTTGTTTTCCAATGACACTTGGCTTTATATTTTATCTACACTCTTAAAAATAAAGGTGCTTCAAAAGGTTCTTCACAGCGATGCCTTAGAAAAACCATTTTTGGTTCGTATATTTGGTTTGATGTATGTGGTATTTATTAAAATCATATTTGTGTTTCTGTCTGATTTTCTGGGCACCATGTCAACTGTACGTATTTTAAATGTTCAACCGATGGTCTGATGTGTATTTATTGAACAGCCTGATCTGTCTGCGTGTGTGAAAATGCAAACCCCCAAAACACTGGTTGATATTTCTGAAGGAACAGGTAGTTCTGTCATGGTCAAAGTTTTATCTTTGTAAGTTGAATAAATTCTTTTTATTTGAATCAAGTCATTTCACTTTTACTGTTTCAACTCCACATCTTTATATTAAAATGTTTCAGGGTTTATTTCAGGATTCCCAAGCATTTGTAGCTACATAAACATGCATGCAATATAAATAAAACAACATCTGGCAAATATATTTTGTGTCTTAAACATACTAGCAGTCTAACACAATATAACATGAAGTCAACAAAAAAATCAAAGTTCACCTTAAATTAATGCACATACCTAATCTTATTGTGTAGGGTTTTTGAGTGACGTTATCTTGAAAAGTCTTAATGAATTGATGCTGTGAAATAAAATAGCAATGACAGCAATGGTTAAGTATACGAAGTTACTAAATTCTTGTAATGCACATAGAAATAACATTTATTATTTACATGCATTTGGCCTCATTCATAAAACAAGAGGAGAAAGAATTTCTGTGTAAATTTAGTAAAACCATATTTATGTAAAGTATATTTATAACAATGGTTTTATGAACAGTTTGCACAAAAATTAGCTCTGCTCGTGCTGCATGAATTAATAAATATTCATTTAAAATGCATGTTAGCTGAAAAACAAAAATGCGACATAAAATTTAAAATCATACCAAAAAATAAAATATTACCCCAAATTGCATTTGGACACTCAATTCAGATTTAAAAATGCATTACATTAGATAAAAAATTTCAAATCAAGCGCATGTATTTTAAGGAAAGAAAGGGCAAACTCACTTTTCAAACTAAACATTTTACAAAACATGTTTGTAAGGCTTTGAAGGATAAACTGAAACAGTTGCGCTCTACTCTACAAAATTGTATTAGAATTGATTTATTCAATTGACCCTTCTCAGGCTTTAAACATTGCTAGTAAAAATTTTGCAATTGCGCGCGTTTGAGTAGTGTGCAGGATTTATTTAGTTTATTTTTTCCAAGCTTAGTTTTGATTAGACACTATTCCCCCGGTTTCACAGACGAGGCTTAAGCCTATCCCAGACTAAAATGCATGTCTGGGCTGTTTTTCCTGAAAGGACATGTTTTGTCTCAGGATGCACACCAGTAATGTTATTTTCTAAGGCAGGTTTATAAAAGATGCTTAAATGTCCTAATTGAACTGTGGCTTAATCCTGGCTTAACCTAAGCCCTGTCTGTGAAACCAGGCCTGTATTTTCTATTTAGGCTTTAAATGATTCAAATGTATCAACTTGAATAGAACTGATTTCATACAACAACGAAAAAAAATACAAATAAATCAGTTGAATAAAAGCTGTTTGTTTTCCAATGACACTTGGCTTTATATTTTATCTACACTCTTAAAAATAAAGGTGCTTCAAAAGGTTCTTCACAGCGATGCCATAGAAAAACCATTTTTGGTTCCACAAAGAACCATTCAGTCAAAGGTTATTTAAAGAACCATCTCTTTCTTACCTTTTTGTAATCTGAAGAACCTTTTTTCACCACAAAGAACCTTTTGTGAAACAGAAAGGTTCTTCAGATGTTAAAGGTTCTTTATGGAAACATTTAGACAAAAAGGTTCTTCTATGGCATCGTGAAGCACCTTTATTTTTAAGAGTGTAACACAATGAGATTTGAGGGTGGCAGAAGTGTCCAAATATTTGATGCGAATATATCACTAGTTAGACAATTTAGTTCTTGATCTATCATCCACTTGAGAAAATAAAATATATGGGTAGCAACTGAAGCATTGCTTATTTGCTTATAAATATACATGAACATGACAAATCAAAACGTATCGCAATTATGTCATTGATTTTTGATTATTCATCTGAGTGGAACTGGACTTGGTATGACTTGACGTAGCTGCTGTCCCATATGTAGAGATGTTTGTCTCTGGGATTGTATGAGATCATGGACAGAACCCCTCCAGGTGCCCTCAGATCTAAACTGACACTAACAGGCTTCTCTTTCAGGAGGTCAAAGGCGTACGTCACTTTTGTGTCTTTAGTATCTGTGACGTAGAGGATCCCGCAGGCGATAAATGCATTACCGACCTTGGTCCTGGGATAGGTGGCGTTGATGTATGTGGTGACGGAGAATGTTTTCTCATCCAGTCGTGCCACCATTATGTTGTCGTCATTGTCGGAGGCAAATATGATCCACATACCGTTCTCATCCACTGCCAATTTGAAATAGGTCTTTGAGTTCTCAAGGAGGTAGGACTTATTGTGATAGAAAGCATTTTCAATGGTCAGCGTGTGTAAGATCTTCGTCTGGAGGTCAAACCTGGGAATATTGGAGAATTTGTGTTAAGAACATTATGTATTCGTACAGATTAACTTAGGAAAGGGCTTTCTGATGTTGTTATAAAGCTGTTATACATTAATTCTTCCTTGGAACACTAATAGTGAGGTTTTGTTCAAAGTGTTAATTTTTAATGGGGACTGTTGCATCGTAACATGCCATGTTTGAATTGAATTGCTAATGAGATTTGAGAACTATGGCAGAGGGGAAGATTCCTTATGAATGACTGTCAGCCATTGTGTGTCAAAGAGACATGTCTTAAAATTCAGCCAAAAGTTCATTGGTTGCTCACACGTGAATTGTACAACTGCATTTTTTAGGCTCAACTATCACTAAGAAAAGTAGTAGGCCTTTTTTTTTTTTTTATTAGTTTATGATAATAAATAGTTTGAGTTAGTAAATACATTTGCATTACAATTTAAACAGGAATTACATCAAGTCTGGTTACACTATATTTTACACTTAGGAAAAGAGGCACAAAGCTGTCACTAGGCTGGTTTCCTAAGGTAAAAAATCTAAAAGGTGCATTTTTGTACCATCTTTACCCCTAGATAGATACATATCAGTGCTTCAAAAAGTACATACCAGTATCACATATATATACCTTTTGAAAGGATACTGCCCCAGTGACCGTTTTGCACCAACTTTTTTTTAAATAGGGTGCTCTTGTTACAGTGTAATTATATAATTAAGTACTGAGCAATATTAATTAACATGTACTTACTATAGGGTTAGAGTTAGGATTAGGGTTTGGTTTAGGCTTAGTTGCATGCAGTTATGCATAATTCACTGTTATTACTGTAATAAGTACATGTAACATATAACAAAGGCACTAAAATTGTTACCTAAACTGTTAAAAGTCTGTCCATTTATTACATTGTTACATTGAACTTCGGCACATTTCAAACATGTATTAAATAAATTGTTTAAATTCTAGATAAATTATATTTGAAAGGGGATGTATTTATTTATTTATTAAAATGAAAATTGGTTCCTTCATTTTATTAAGTGGCACTCTTATTCCTCCATTTGGAGTGATGTAATGACAGAATTTTCATTTTTGGCTCAATTAAATGACTTATAATCATGATATTATCAAGGAGATCTGCCCATGCTATCTTCAGACATACTTAGCAATATTGGAAGTTCCCGCGATGTGGTAGAATATGGAGCCGTTATGTACAGCGTGGCCGCAACCTTGGAAAAATTTCCGGACATCAATGGATTCACTGCTGCTGTTCTGGAATGCCGCAATACTGTTGTACTCCTTTATGATACGTCCTAATGCATTTGTGAACATGAAATAGGGAAAATCTCAAAAGCAATGTTCCAGGTTCAATACAAGGTGCTCTATGACAGCATTTAGTGCACAATGTCAAATACTACAGATTAAACATTTTGATTAAAGTTAATACTTTCAAATGAAAACAAATGCAGAGTTTATATGCTGTATTGATGAGTGTTTGTTCTCTCTTCAGTACCTGAGAAATGTTCTGCTACCCAGATCTTCTCATTGTCATGAGCAGCAGTGTCCATCATCCACGCTCCAAACGTGCTGCTCATTTTCATCAGATGTCTTGGGTTCTGCACTGACTTTATGACACAGTCTGCCAAACACAATCACACTGTCAGTGGTGAAGTTGAATAAAGACTGTAGTTCAATGTAGAACAACTAATACATTGCTCTAGTTGGTACCGTTTATCTTCCGTGATACCATTTTCTGGCTGATGGTGTCATCATTTGGGACTGAATCAAGGTGACCTAAAGATAAACAATGAGATTACATATATAATATGCGTCTTATGGGGAAAATCAAAGCCAAAATCAAGTTTTGCCCCAAAATCAAAAGAGAGAGAGAGAGAGAAAAAACGTATATAGCATAAAGAACGCTAGAAATGTGATTACTGAAAATTATAAAATATTAAAACATTAAAATATTTTGTAAATTGTAACAAAAATGATGTAAGTTATTGTAACTAATGCAACATGTCTGTACATTAAGTGTTTTATAATTCTCATTATCATCAATGGAAGAAAGAAAATAGTTTAGTTTTTTTATGATTATGAGGTATTTTGAAATATTTATATGCACAATTTTTCATTTTAGCCATTTTTAACTTACCCACAGACTCCTTCCCCATGTGGAGATGTGCTCTGTGGCTCCTGTGTCTTGGTGGCCCCTGAGGCCCGGGGGGCCCTGGAAGGCCAGGGAGGCCAGGGGGCCCCATTGGACCAGGTGGACCTGCGGATTAAATCAGAGGAAATATAACCCTTTGGCTGTGACTCTATATTTCAACATCCACATATACCTTCTTGCTTAAAAATTGCCTATTAACTTTTTTTCCCCAATAAAAACAGAACTCGTCTTTACCCTCTACAATGACATCATTTGAAGGTTCGCCCTGTTCTCCAGGGGGTCCTGGGGGTCCAGGATATCCTTGCTCTCCTCTCTCACCAGGCTCACCCTTCTCACCTGGAGGACCTGCACACAGGTACAAAGAAGCAAAAAATCATTCATTCACGGTTCCATGCAGCACAGTTCTCAAATCATTCAGTGCTGGTTATTATGTTATTATAGTCATGTAATAAATGTTACAATTACAGTGCCTTGCGAAAGTATTCATTTTTTCACGTTTTATGTTGCTGCCTTATGTTAAACTGCTTTTAACTGCTTTTTTTCCACATCAATCTACACTCCATACACCATAATGGTAAAGCAAATAAACTGTTTTTAACATATTTGCAAATTTATTAAAAATAAAGAACTTAAATGATTCCATTGCATAAGTATTCATACCTTTATATGCGTTGAAATTTAGCTCAAGAGCATTCATATTGCTTGTAGATGTTACAGCACTTTGAGTGATGTTAAGCTGTGGCTAATTCAATTGAATGGGTATCATTTGGAAAGGCACACACATCTTAATAAAAGGTCTAACAGCTGATAATGCATATCAGAGCAGAAATCAAGCCCTGAGGTCAAAAGAACTGCCTGTAGAGCTCAGAAACAGGTTTGCATCAAGCCACACGTCTGGGGAAGAGTTCAGAAAAAAAAAATTCTGCTTCATTGAAGGGTCACAGAAGCATGTAGTCTCTGTTGCCCTTAATGGAAGAAGTTCGAAACAACCAGGACTCTTCTTAGAGCTGGCCTCCTGGCCAAACTGAGCAATTGATGGAGAAGGGCTTTGGTTAGTGTGGTGACCAAGAACCTGATGGTCACTCTAGTTGAGCTCCATGATCATATGTGGAGATAGGAGAAATCTACAGAAGGACAAACATCATTGCAACACTTCATCGATTTGGACTTTATGGCAGTGTGGCAAGACTCAATCCTCTCTTCAGTGAAGACACATGAATACCCCACTTGGAACTTGCAAAAAAGCACTTAAAGGACCTTCAGACTGTCAGAAACAATATTCTCTGGTCTGATGAACCTTAATTCTAAGCATCATGTTTGAAGGAAACCAGCTCTGCTCATCACCTGCAGAGTACCATCCCAAAAGTAAAGTGTGCTGGTAGCAGCCTCATGCTGTGGGGCTGTTTTTCAGCAGCAGGGACTGAGGGACTTGTTAGAGTAGAAGAAACGCTCAGTGCAGCAAAATATAGAGATAGCCTTAATGAAAACCCAGCCCAGAGCATTCAGAACCTCAGACTGGGCAGAAGGTTTACCTTCCAACAGGACAATGAACCAAAAACACAGCAAGAGTGGCTTATAGACAACTCTGTGAATGTCCTTGAGCGGCCCAGCCACAGCCTGGGATTGAACCCAACCAAATATTTCTGGAGAAATCTGAAAATGTGCGTCTGCCCCCATCCAACCTGACAGAGCTTGAGAGGTGAAGAGGTGTGGAGAAGAATGGCAGATAATTGCCAAATGCTGATAAGCAAAGCTTGTCGCATCAAACAAAAAAGAGTTGAGGCTGTAAAGGTGCTTCAGCTAAATATTTTGTTACTTATGTACTTATTTCAGTTTTTTTATTTTTAATAAATGTATGAGGTTGTGACAATTCTGTTTTTGCTTTGTCGATATGGTGTATGGAATGTAGATTGATATGGGGGGAAAAAGTCATTTAAAGCAGTTTTACATAAGGCAGGAACATAACATAACGTGAAAAAATACTTTAGCAAGGCACTGTGTTTTATTTTAGCAATGTTGTTACAGTGTAATTACCCAAATAAGCACTGAGTAATATTAATTAACTACATGTACTATCTATATGGTTAAGATTAGGGTTTGGTTTAGGGTTAGTTGCTTGTAATTTTCCACTGTCTTTTACTACTAATAATAATTTACTATTATTACTATAGTAAGTACATGTAATGTGTAACTATGCCTTAAAATAAAGTGTTACCAACATCACATAAATATATAGATACTGTACATTTTTTTAACTAAAGTGGGTGTGGTTGGTTGCTAGGTGATGTTCTTGGTGGTTGCTAGGGTGTTTGTTGGTTCTAAACGCTTGTAACCTTGTTACCTAGCCAGGTAAACACTGCATTCTGATGCATGAACTGTCAATAAACAATCAATTGCTTGTGTAACTTCATTTTCATTCAGTTTCTTAATAATTGATTTGTTGAATGACACTTCTAGAATGTCTGTGGGCTCTTGTGCTTTCAGAACATAGCAGTCAGTCAGCTGCAATCATGAGTTCTGCTTTATTCAGTGGGAGATCTCTGAGTCTCTCTGAGTCCTGCTGTGTGACTGAAGCAGGATAAAATTCCCCTCTCCTCTTCCTTAGTGGATGATAAAAGCCATAGAAAGCAGCCGCATTTTTGAGAAAATGTTTGAAAGGAGGACATTTTCTTTCAGAAGACCTTTTTGACTATATTCATTCATGTGCACGATGGATGGATTTTCCACGTTATTTTGCATATACAGTAGCTGACCTCTTTTTCCTCGTTTTCCATGTGCTCCAGGCTCTCCTGGCAACCCTGGAATTCCATCTGTTCCATTATACCCCGGCATTCCGTCCACACCCGGCAAGCCTGGAAGTCCATAAAGTAAGATTATTTGAGTAACACATTATTTGGAACTCTACACTAAAAATTGGCGTACAAATAAATTTCACTTTAAGTACAAAGAAATGTAACACAAAGCACTTTTATGACGCTTCCAATTCTAATTGCCACAATGCAAAGAAAGATGTGTATCAGACTCCTTCCCCATGTGGAGATGTGCTCTGTGGCTCCTGTGTCTTGGTGGCCCCTGAGGCCCGGGGGGCCCTGGAAGGCCAGGGAGGCCAGGGGGCCCCATTGGACCAGGTGGACCTGCGGATTAAATCAGAGGAAATATAACCCTTTGGCTGTGACTCTATATTTCAACATCCACATATACCTTCTTGCTTAAAAATTGCCTATTAACTTTTTTTCCCCAATAAAAACAGAACTCGTCTTTACCCTCTACAATGACATCATTTGAAGGTTCGCCCTGTTCTCCAGGGGGTCCTGGGGGTCCAGGATATCCTTGCTCTCCTCTCTCACCAGGCTCACCCTTCTCACCTGGAGGACCTGCACACAGGTACAAAGAAGCAAAAAATCATTCATTCACGGTTCCATGCAGCACAGTTCTCAAATCATTCAGTGCTGGTTATTATGTTATTATAGTCATGTAATAAATGTTACAATTACAGTGCCTTGCGAAAGTATTCATTTTTTCACGTTTTATGTTGCTGCCTTATGTTAAACTGCTTTTAACTGCTTTTTTTCCACATCAATCTACACTCCATACACCATAATGGTAAAGCAAATAAACTGTTTTTAACATATTTGCAAATTTATTAAAAATAAAGAACTTAAATGATTCCATTGCATAAGTATTCATACCTTTATATGCGTTGAAATTTAGCTCAAGAGCATTCATATTGCTTGTAGATGTTACAGCACTTTGAGTGATGTTAAGCTGTGGCTAATTCAATTGAATGGGTATCATTTGGAAAGGCACACACATCTTAATAAAAGGTCTAACAGCTGATAATGCATATCAGAGCAGAAATCAAGCCCTGAGGTCAAAAGAACTGCCTGTAGAGCTCAGAAACAGGTTTGCATCAAGCCACACGTCTGGGGAAGAGTTCAGAAAAAAAAAATTCTGCTTCATTGAAGGGTCACAGAAGCATGTAGTCTCTGTTGCCCTTAATGGAAGAAGTTCGAAACAACCAGGACTCTTCTTAGAGCTGGCCTCCTGGCCAAACTGAGCAATTGATGGAGAAGGGCTTTGGTTAGTGTGGTGACCAAGAACCTGATGGTCACTCTAGTTGAGCTCCATGATCATATGTGGAGATAGGAGAAATCTACAGAAGGACAAACATCATTGCAACACTTCATCGATTTGGACTTTATGGCAGTGTGGCAAGACTCAATCCTCTCTTCAGTGAAGACACATGAATACCCCACTTGGAACTTGCAAAAAAGCACTTAAAGGACCTTCAGACTGTCAGAAACAATATTCTCTGGTCTGATGAACCTTAATTCTAAGCATCATGTTTGAAGGAAACCAGCTCTGCTCATCACCTGCAGAGTACCATCCCAAAAGTAAAGTGTGCTGGTAGCAGCCTCATGCTGTGGGGCTGTTTTTCAGCAGCAGGGACTGAGGGACTTGTTAGAGTAGAAGAAACGCTCAGTGCAGCAAAATATAGAGATAGCCTTAATGAAAACCCAGCCCAGAGCATTCAGAACCTCAGACTGGGCAGAAGGTTCACCTTCCAACAGGACAATGAACCAAAAACACAGCAAGAGTGGCTTATAGACAACTCTGTGAATGTCCTTGAGCGGCCCAGCCACAGCCTGGGATTGAACCCAACCAAATATTTCTGGAGAAATCTGAAAATGTGCGTCTGCCCCCATCCAACCTGACAGAGCTTGAGAGGTGAAGAGGTGTGGAGAAGAATGGCAGATAATTGCCAAATGCTGATAAGCAAAGCTTGTCGCATCAAACAAAAAAGAGTTGAGGCTGTAAAGGTGCTTCAGCTAAATATTTTGTTACTTATGTACTTATTTCAGTTTTTTTATTTTTAATAAATGTATGAGGTTGTGACAATTCTGTTTTTGCTTTGTCGATATGGTGTATGGAATGTAGATTGATATGGGGGGAAAAAGTCATTTAAAGCAGTTTTACATAAGGCAGGAACATAACATAACGTGAAAAAATACTTTAGCAAGGCACTGTGTTTTATTTTAGCAATGTTGTTACAGTGTAATTACCCAAATAAGCACTGAGTAATATTAATTAACTACATGTACTATCTATATGGTTAAGATTAGGGTTTGGTTTAGGGTTAGTTGCTTGTAATTTTCCACTGTCTTTTACTACTAATAATAATTTACTATTATTACTATAGTAAGTACATGTAATGTGTAACTATGCCTTAAAATAAAGTGTTACCAACATCACATAAATATATAGATACTGTACATTTTTTTAACTAAAGTGAGTGTGGTTGGTTGCTAGGTGATGTTCTTGGTGGTTGCTAGGGTGTTTGTTGGTTCTAAACGCTTGTAACCTTGTTACCTAGCCAGGTAAACACTGCATTCTGATGCATGAACTGTCAATAAACAATCAATTGCTTGTGTAACTTCATTTTCATTCAGTTTCTTAATAATTGATTTGTTGAATGACACTTCTAGAATGTCTGTGGGCTCTTGTGCTTTCAGAACATAGCAGTCAGTCAGCTGCAATCATGAGTTCTGCTTTATTCAGTGGGAGATCTCGGAGTCTCTCTGAATCCTGCTGTGTGACTGAAGCAGGATAAAATTCCCCTCTTATTTTCTTGAGTGGATGATAAAAGCTATAGAAAGCAGACAGATTTTCGGGAAGAGGTTTGAAAGGAGGACATTTTCTTTCAGAAGACCTTTTTGACTATATTCATTCATGTGCACGATGGATGGATTTTCCACGTTATTTTGCATATACAGTAGCTGACCTCTTTTTCCTCGTTTTCCATGTGCTCCAGGCTCTCCTGGCAACCCTGGAATTCCATCTGTTCCATTATACCCCGGCATTCCGTCCACACCCGGCAAGCCTGGAAGTCCATAAAGTAAGATTATTTGAGTAACACATTATTTGGAACTCTACACTAAAAATTGGCGTACAAATAAATTTCACTTTGTTAAGTACAAAGAAATGTAACACAAAGCACTTTTATGACGCTTCCAATTCTAATTGCCACAATGCAAAGAAAGATGTGTATATATATATATATAATAATTGATATATTAAAGTTGAAAGATTTATACATCATGGTAATATTTTTGTACTGATTTTCATTTATGCAAAATGCTTTTGCAATATTTCATTCATTCATTCATCCATTCATCCATATTTTCCCCTGTAGAATATAACCCATGAACAACATTAGAATAATTAATTTCTTACCTGGAATTCCTGGTTGTCCGGGTGGTCCTGGTGGCCCTGTGAAAGTTGAAATCAAACTAAACTGTAAACTTGGAGACAATCGATTCTGTAGATAAGAAGTTGTCTAAATAAAAATGAACCAATAGATCCTAATACTCACCAGTCAGACAGACTCCTTTAGTACTGTTGCAAATGTCCAGAAGAATTTTAACCTGAAACATATATTTGTATTCAAGTTGTTGCAGAACTGTGTTGAAAAATGTTCTAGATGAATCCAATTATGTAACCATGCACTGGAGCAAAACCAAAACCAAATTTAAAGGAGCTAAAAGTGTTTACTTTTCATTTGTGAATAGAAAAATTATCTACAGATAAGAGATAATTCATATAGAATTTTTTTCTCATTACACTCTGCGAAAACAGGGCATTAATGTATTATGTTGATGTGAAGGAATTTTCCATATAGATTTTTTCACAGGTGCTTTACTCATATTTTGAATTACACATTGCATTATGTTGTGTGTTAGGGTTAGCAATTTCTGTAAACTTCTAATATAATGTTGAGTTTGATGTTATGTAAACTTATAATGCTGAATTTACAGACATTTCTATGGACATTTATAACAGACTTTTTAAATGATTTTTTTTTCTTACAGCGTATAAAACGTAAAACATTGTATATACTAAAAAAATCCATCTATTATGAAATTCAGACAGAATACAATTCAACTAGTTGAAGTTGTTTTGACTAATATTGAAATTTGTTTGATGATCTGAAACATTAAAGTGTGACAAACATGCAAAAAAATAAGAAATCAGGAAGGGGGCCAACAGTTTTTCACACCACTGTATATATAAATATATATAATAAAAATATATATAACGTTATACAGCTATCATGTTATCTATTTTATTCTATTTTATTTATTTATTCAAAAACAGGGAAAGCAGTCTGGACAAAAATAAACTATAGTTGATACTGTGAAATTTTATATACAGTTTGCTTAGGAAAATTTAGATTAATTGTGTAATCTGCACAAATCAATCAATCATGTCAGTGTGAGTTTCTTACTGGCACCATGGAGTATGTCATCATTGTCATCATTCCATCCTGCTCTTCTAATTTGTGCTGGTAAACCGGCCCATGTGTCTGTTACAGTTTGCTTAGGAAAATTTAGATTAATTGTGTAATCTGCACAAATCAATCAATCATGTCAGTGTGAGTTTCTTACTGGCACCATGGAGTATGTCATCATTGTCATCATTCCATCCTGCTCTTCTAATTTGTGCTGGTAAACCGGCCCATGTGTCTGTGGATACTGATACTGGAAATCTCCCAAGACTTCCTCTCCCACACTCCCCTCGTGTTCCTCAAAGGGTCGTGTCCCTCGATGCTGCCGGCTGCGTTTGTTTCTGGGGTATTGATACTCAGCCTCATCTTCATTCACCTGTGTCATGAACTCCACCACGGAGCTCTGAGAAATCTCCACCATCTGCCTCTCCACCTCAGTCAGATGAGCCCACAGCTCTCTCTGCTGAACCAGGAGCAGAACCAGGCAGGCACAGTTTATTACCGTCAGTACGCACACGCTGTACAAGATCCAACGCACCTGCCAGGACAACCGGCCACCACACTGCCTAAAGCCTCCAGTTCTTCTCAACTCAGCCAGTGGATCCAGCATTCTGACTTCAATTCAGAATTTCAAAAAAAGTGTTAAAAAACCGCGAAACACAACTAACTACAATTCAACACTTTCAAAAGTAAAGCTGAATAATAAAAGTCTAGAATATTCCCCCCAAAAAAGGACAGTCTCTGGATGCGAGAAGACAATCGAAGTCCTTGTTTCGAGTTGAGTCTGTGTGCGACTGAGGGCTGCTCGGCTTTGTGCCGTCCTGATGCGCTGGAGAAGAACCCCCCACTTGTGCAGTCACCTGATTTATATGCAGTAGAGTCCATTCTTCAGCATGACCGTGGGCTGACCAGCATAATCCACATCGACACCAACAGCCAATGATGTGGAAGAAAACTAGACACGCTGAGAGCCACTGCAAGATTTCAGTAAACACTTTCTTAAAACAGTTCTGTTAAGACTGTCTCCAAACATCTTCAAATATGTAGTGTTTTTATGTATTTTTTATTAGACCATTCAAAGCTGTCTTGGCAAAGGTAGTGTAACTTTTAACACCAACACATGTTCTAAACATTTTAATGGACAAAATCTGAAAGTATAACCATATCTGAGAACAATACAGACAAAACAAAACTGACAACAACAAAAACAGTTATTCAGCTCCACGGTGATTTCACGAACATGTCAGAGTGAGTAGATGTCAGCATAAAGGAGCCTAGACCCTTGAGGGAACTCAGGCTGCTGGTGAAGGCCTGACATACAATTCTTACAGTGCCCATATCATGCAACATGACCCACTTCTGTAGTTTTAATTTGGGTTTTGATCTGATAACAGTTAGCACATCGCTCTCATTGAGATAGTCTTCACTTTCTATGCTTATATAATGACTGTGGAATACATCTGCACTTGCTATAATTGGAAATGGCAGGCACTGCCAGTATTGGTTGTACAATAATAATATAAAAATAATAATAATATAGTCTGGTTGGTGCACAGCCAGATTGTTTGTGTATTAAAAAAAAGATGATTTTCCTCTGATAAATGCTGGTACAGTGCTGTATGAAACCATAAAGTCTGTTGTGTTTTGTGGTCCTCTGCCCTGCAGCTGTAGGTCATTGCCAAATAAAATATACAAGCTGAGCTACAAGCTCCTTGGTTGGGTTTGTGTGATCACGCAAGCAAGGAACAAGGTATCAGAGTAGAGTGTGTTCTGAGTATGTGCTTATGCTGGGAGAAGTGTTAAGATCATATTAGTTCAGTCAGGTTTTTTTCTGTCATTTCTTTAAATAGTTAGTTGGGTACAACTTCACTGACAAACAAGGCACTAGTAGCCATAAGTCTGGCTTTTGAGATTAATTGGAATGAACTGTAAATCTGTTTTTAGCTCAGGTTTTTTTTTTTTTTTAGGTCAGTCAAGTTCTTTACCAAGAGTGATATATTTCACTTAAAACGATCTAAAATGGTCAATAAATAGTCTCAATGATTAGGATATTTTAATAATTATTTGACTGACAACTGTTCATTAAATGAACTCAAATCTTTTAAAAAGGTTTTACTGTATTTGAGGTAGTTAGTATCAGCATTGGAGGTAATGCATTTGTTACATAATTAGAACCAATTAAATCCAATCAGCTGTTCGGTGTAAATGAAATGACGCATCAGGATACGTGCAATTACAAAATAACACATTTTAGTTTACATAAAAAGCAACAATGCAACATAATCAGTTAATTCGATTTGGAGAAACAGTATTGTCACAGCAATATTCCAACACTGGTTAGTATAGATCTCTGGATTTAAGAAAGTGTGTGTGGTTTGTGTAATTGAATCTTTAAAACAGAATTTTAAGACACCTAGAAATACAGTGAATTGCATATTCTTGAGCACAGCTGTATATTTCACAAGTAATGTCTGTGAAATTATTGATACTTATTATTTCTGAAATTCTGAATAGAAAGTCTACATGTGAGAGTCAGTAAGTCTCTTCCTGTCTGAGTGAGTGGTTCTTGGCCAGAATAAGCTACAAAATGCACCATGCCGGCAGTAGAGAAGTCTGGCTTGAAAAACTAATTGACTTTAACCATAAACCTGTTTAAAACTCAAAATTCAGTCAAGGTCAGTCAAGTTCACTGACACTCCTGACAGATAATGAGGGACTAGACCATGAAAAGATTATTAAGAAGTAGGCTATAACTAATTCAACATGACATGCAAATCTAGATGTCTGCCCTTAATGCAATCCACTATGTTGAAAAAGAAGATAAAATTATGTATGTCATCTATATAGCAATGCAATGCAGAGTTTCCTAATAACATCTCCTAAAGAGTGCATGTGCAAAATTAATTACAAAGGGCCTGAAACAGAGCCTTGTGGAACAATGTATTTTAATGTATTTAGGATGGTTCTTCATTTACACAAGCAGGCAATTGCTCATTTTCTTTTTCAATTATTAAAAAAAAAATGAGATGCAAGAACATACAAAACTACAACCAAATGGGTGATAATGTAAAATGGAAAAAAAAGAGAGAGATACTTGCTATTTATGCAAAACTTTTATGTAACAGGCCCTCAGACCTCAAAGAGGTCAGTTGAGTGGACATTGGACTGTGTTCAGTAAAGGGAAGTGGTTTGGCTTCTCTCCCTATGCGTTGTCTCAAACATTGCTGTTATTATCTGTCACTTGGCAGTCCTCATGAGAAACCGTACAAATGTCCGCCCACAACAGCCGTATGGCTAACATTGCTTTCACTGAGCTAAACACACAACCATCTTAGAGATCAACACAAACCCTCCCCAGGATGCAAGGTGTTAGTGATGGGCTAGCAAAGTAATTCAGTGGATGGACAATAAAAATGTCATAATCATGAAAAATTAAACTGTAATTATTGAGTTTTGTAGCTAATATTTATCACAAAATGCAGTTTCCGCAAACACAATATAAGCACTATATTGGATGTCTTTGTAAGAAAGCACCATTAAGCAACATAAATGTAAATGATCTATAAATTTATGTTTGACAGTCCCCACAATTCCCTTCCTTGTGGCTTCCTGATCAATGGTGAGGAAACTGTCATCTTGAGCAGGTAAGTTCTCTCACACACACAAACACCACCCCTTATGAAAAAGACATTACACTTGAGCATATTTTTAAAAAAAGAGTACCTATTACAGAAATAATATAATTTAAAAGAATTTACTTAGTGCAAACTGAATGTAATGTTTACAGGGCACGTAACTGCATGTTATTTACAATTGTTATATCCAATTGTAACGAATCAGTCCACTGAAGGCGAGCGTAGTGAAGAACCCATGTGCAGTTTATTTCCAGATGTGATCCAAAATACAAAAATAATCTGAGACTTGACTTGACATGAACAGACTTGACTAGAACAGACTTGACTTTGCATTAACAGAACTCACCGACAGCAGGTTTACATTCAATACTCGACCAGAGACAATAGCAACATGAGGGCTACTTATACCAAGCACTAAGGGTCACATGACAAGAATCAACTAATGAGAGACAGGACATATGACTAAGACAACGAATGATAACATGACACATGAACCAAAGAACCAATTAGAACATAACACAGAGACAAGGGTAGCACATGACATGATCACATGTGGTGCAAGGAACACATGACAAACCAGGAAATTAAACTAAGAGCATGAATACAAAGCAAAAAACATGAACACCAAAACAAACCCTGACACCAATGCAATTGAGAGTGCATATTTGTATACAGTTCATAGTATATATAGTTCATAGTTACTTCTGTTATATATCTGAAATATGATTAAAATGTACTGCCAAATACACTGCTAAGCATATATGGTAAACTAAGATTAATTTCAATGTCAGTTCTATTGGAGCTTGTATGTCATATATTTATTATTACACATTTATAACGATGAAGTTTAAATTCAGTACATTTAATATATATATATATATATATATATATATATATATATATATATTAACTTTTAAATATAAAACACTACATTTAAAATTATAATAAATTTTTTTACATATGCTTTAGTATGGTAGTCAACCCACCTAAATTTCATTATTACAAAATACACTTTTTAAAATATACTTAAGTGTGTTATTTTTAATGCACTTAAGAGACAGAATATTCCATCACCATATCACAGAATGTTCCAGGATAAATGAACTCAAATGTGGCATTCTAATTCTGTGCGTATCACAGGTCATCTGCTGTGTATCATGTGTTGAGGAAATCACTGTACACCTCACGATTTGGGAGCAAACTGGGTCTGCAGTGTATCGGAATGCATGAACAGGGCATTATATTCAACTCAAATGTGGCATTCTGGAAGAAAGTCTTTTTAATATGCAAGTTATGCTGTACTGAAGGAGAACAGGCTGATTCAAACTGCATGGCCGCGTGCATGTGTGTGCGTGAGTGTGTGTGTGTGTGTGTGTGTGTGTGTGTGACAGCTCTAACAGGTCCAGGGCTTCAGAGAACTTTGGATATTTGCATCACTTCCACAAACACACACCTGGATAATCTGTCACACCTGATGGATGCTCGGGGACAGGTGGATATCCTCAACTTACTGCGGTGCATTGTAGTGGACATTTCCAACAGACTGTTTCTAGGAGTCCCTCTCAATGGTCAGTCTTGAGAAACACTTAGACTATCATATACTATATACTAAAAGTTTATAGGCAGTTAAATCACATTTAATAATCATTGAATAATACAAATCATCTAATAAATGTTATGTAATAAATCTTACCAACTCTAAACAATTGTACAGTATTATATTTTTATATGCTATGTATATTGTCATTATGCAATCTTAATTAAAGGGCATGATTGATGTTCTCTCTATTGTTTGTGATCATATGATTAATATTGCAATTTTAGTATGTGACATACATTGAAGATTATGTTTATTATAAGATTATGTACATTATAAATGTAATTGCTGGTTTCTTGCTGCTGTGTTGTAGAGCATGATCTGCTTCAGAAGTTTCATAAATATTTTGACACCTGGCAGACAGTATTAATCAAACCTGATGTGTACTTCAGACTGGCCTGGTTGCACAGGAAGCACAAGAGAGACGTATGAGTTCATGAGATGTAATATTGGAGATGTATGTAGTGTAAATGCATGTAAATACCATGGTATATGAATGTGATAACTTCTGATACTTTTGTAAGGAACACTTACGCAAATGCAGAATCCAGAGAGCTTTAAAAAACTCTTTTTGGACTGAATTGTAAAGTGTTTTTTTCTGTTGTGAACATTTGTAAAGGCTTTGAAAAGTGTTTTTTATGGTGTGTGTGTGTGTGTGTGTGTGTGTGTGTGTGACAGCTCTAACAGGTCCAGGGCTTCAGAGAACTTTGGATATTTGCATCACTTCCACAAACACACACCTGGATAATCTGTCACACCTGATGGATGCTCGGGGACAGGTGGATATCCTCAACTTACTGCGGTGCATTGTAGTGGACATTTCCAACAGACTGTTTCTAGGAGTCCCTCTCAATGGTCAGTCTTGAGAAACACTTAGACTATCATATACTATATACTAAAAGTTTATAGGCAGTTAAATCACATTTAATAATCATTGAATAATACAAATCATCTAATAAATGTTATGTAATAAATCTTACCAACTCTAAACAATTGTACAGTATTATATTTTTATATGCTATGTATATTGTCATTATGCAATCTTAATTAATGTGCTTAAGGGCATGATTGATGTTCTCTCTATTGTTTGTGATCATATGATTAATATTGCAATTTTAGTATGTGACATACATTGAAGATTCATTATAAATGTAATTGCTGGTTTCTTGCTGCTGTGTTGTAGAGCATGATCTGCTTCAGAAGTTTCATAAATATTTTGACACCTGGCAGACAGTATTAATCAAACCTGATGTGTACTTCAGACTGGCCTGGTTGCACAGGAAGCACAAGAGAGACGTATGAGTTCATGAGATGTAATATTGGAGATGTATGTAGTGTAAATGCATGTAAATACCATGGTATATGAATGTGATAACTTCTGATACTTTTGTAAGGAACACTTACGCAAATGCAGAATCCAGAGAGCTTTAAAAACCTCTTTTTGGACTGAATTGTAAAGTGTTTTTTTTCTGTTGTGAACATTTGTAAAGGCTTTGAAAAGTGTTTTTATGGTCTGTGTGTGTGTGTGTGTGTGTGTGTGTGTGTATGTTGCAGGATGCCATTGCTGATCGAGCAGAAGAGAGTTCAGCTGTCACATGCAGAAAAACTCGACCAGCTCAACTTCACAGCAGAGCTGACATTTGCTCAGGTGAATGCCAGAATTTCACACAAACTTCTGAAACATGTATGAGAATG